GTGCCTTTCCTCTTGGTTGAGGCTAGGCCAACTATATCTTGTCGTCTCCTAGGAACAAGAAGGAATCTTCACATCTACCCTGTGCAAACAAGGAGGAAGTTAAAGTCGATGTAAACATAGAAGATGAGGAGGAAGAAATTGAGACCTTGACTGAGGGGGAAATGCTATTCCCTTCGCTCAAGAATCGACACCATACTGCAAAAAAGAAGAACGGAGCGTCCAATGGGAAACACAAGGACAGGATCAATAAGGAAACAACGAGGAAGACGTGCTCACCCCCACGATCGCCCACACCGCTCTCAGAGAGCTATTCACCTGGTCAGTCGTCTAAGCCATGCCCAGAAAGTCCCCCGAATCGGCAGTAAACGTCACCTGATGCGGCAAAAGAAATGGAAGAGAGGAGGTCCTTTTGGGAGGGAGGACTTCTCCTTCTACCTCTACAGTCGCAGGAGAAGCACATATGCACTCAAAATTCATAAGAAGCTCATCTCAAATGTGAACTAGAGAAAGAGGAAGAAGAAAAGAGGCATCTGGATGAATTCTGGAAATACGCCCCTCTCCCTTCTCTCCTTGCCAAAAGCCATCAGGAAAAAGAGGGGAGCACACCCAAATCAGTCACCAACCTCACCTCCTACAATTGAATAGTTGCCTCTTGAGAGGGGCTGAAAAATCATGTTGGGGCACCTTACGGCCAGCTGGGCTCCTTTTGGTTTCATATTCCCCTCTTGTTACATTGCATTGTATGTTTTTTAACTTTAAAAAAGGTATTCATAAAAAAAAGCAGTGCACAATTACCTCAGAAAGAGTTTCTACAAACTCAATCATACACATTGGCTCTATTCTTCGCATTTGGGAGGGAGAATTATTTTTCCGCTCTCAGTGAAGGAAATGAGAGTTTCTGTACTCCACAGAGGAGAAAGGAGATAGCCATTCCCTGTAAAGTACTAAGATTAGTACTTTCAGAATAATATTTAATCCATTGCCTTCATTATTGACCAATTATGGAATGCTACAAGGGTGGGAGTGAGGGTTCAAATAAGTGACATTGCAATGTTGGCTCAACGTTCAGCCAGTGTTGAACTTCAACGTTCATCTGAGTGTTCCGAAAAGCGACATTGCATTCAAATAAGTGACATTGCAATGTTGGCTCAACGTTCAGCCAGTGTTGAACTTCAACGTTCATCTGAGTGTTCCGATAAGCAACATTGCAATAGTGACTTAATGTTAGCTGCAACACCAACCAAACACTGGGAAGGTTCAAAATTAACGTTCATGCAACAGTGATTGAATGTTAGAATGTTTGCTGGGTAGATGGCTGGCAACTCAATAGTTGAGGAGTCTCATTTTTTCAACATTGAAGCCATGTTGTGGTAGGTTAATAGCTCTCTAAAAACATACAGGAGTGGTCCAACTTTTCATCATTTTAACAGGGATTAACTTGATGCATCATTCAAGAAATGTAATCCCTAATTGGAATCCACAATGCGATATGACAACTTTCTATCAGCATTGAAACAGTGTTCACCTTAAACCCTCAATATTCACACACTCAATCCATATCCAATCATGGTTGATTCTATGTTATGTGTTACCTGGGTTGTTGTGTAATTGGTAATATCTGAAGAAGCAAAATTAATGTTTTTAATAGTCTTTATCTCCTCACCAAATGAGCTTGGGTGATGAATAATGAAAGGAACTATCCAGGTAACACATCCATGTGGAAACAACATTGAAGCAATGTTTCATGGCAACATTTATAATGTTGAAACAACATTGAGGTGTCACATTGATTCAATGGGAAGATGCCATTTTTGTCAACATTCATTCAACATTCCTCAATGAGCCCCTTGTGATTGGGTTTCTCCATGGATAAAGTAGAGTTAAGTTCATCAAAAGGAATTGCATGACATATGGATGATGAACTATATATGCTAAAGAGGATTAATTCTCTCCAGCTTCTTTAAGTCAGTACCCAGTTTAAAATCCCAACTGGAATATTCCAGCTGGACCAAATCTGTAAATTCGGATCATTTCCAGCTGGCAAAGAGCTGGAAAATAGTAGATACCAGTTGTTTCTTGGCTGGAATTTTCCAACTGGAATGCAGCTGGTTTTAATAGCTGTTTCCAGCTGGAAATTTTCCAGTTGAAAATGTATGAAGAGGACCCTACACCAGGAATGTAGCTACATTTAAAGTTGAAAATCAGCTGTTCTTGTTGATGGACCTCTGAAAAAATAGTTAACAAAAAGATTCTCATTTAGCTAGTGATATAGCAGTTAGGAACAAATCTGGAGATTAATACTTTCCAGCTGTAACCCAGTTGGAATGGGTCCGAATTTACAGCTGGAGTCCAGCTGGAAATTATAGCTGTTTCCAGCCGGGATTTTAAACTGGGTACCCACAAAGTACTGAGAATTTGAGAGGATGGGTCCTCTTCAGTTCTGCAAACAGCACCAAAGCCTCGTATGCCTAACTGGAATGCAAAGCGAGGATAAATTCTCTCAGCTCCTCTCTTAGGAGATTTGTGAATGGATCACTTCAGGTTATTATTGTGTGTGCTCTACACATCTCCAGTCGCCTAGACTTCTTTGCACCCACACTAAACCTAGATATTTAATTTGTTTCAGAATCAGATGCTGCAATCAGAGCATCATAATTCCACATTTCTGTAATATATGTGTCCATTAATTACATAATAAAAAGAGGAAAGTGGGAAGAAAACACTGTAATGGAAGGTGACAGATCTGTAATTGCATTAGGAGGCTACAGGGGAACATGGATACCATCTAGTGAGCGCTCTTGGTACGTCATTATGATCATGCCTAGACTACACTAACCTGGTAACATAATGTCCATAAGAGGATGCGAGACGTCTCTGTGATGACCGTAGGATAATTGGAAATGGTTTATGTATTTTTTTCCAAATGAAAAAAAATCATTATTCAAATACATGATCATAGACAGCATGCAACTCAATAGTTGAGGAGTTTCATTTTTTCAACATTGAAACCATGTTGTGGTAGGTTGATAGTACTCCAAAAACCTATTGGAGAGGTCCAACTTGTTATCATTTTAAGAGGGGTTAACAATTATGCCACATCTAATAAATATAATCAGAATATTCCCCAATTGGAATCCACAATGGGATGCGATGACATTGTATCAACATTGAAACAATGTTCACCTTCAACCCTCAACATTTGCACACTCAATCCACATCCAATGTTGATTCAATGTTCTGTGTTACCTGGGTAGATAGTTTACCCAGCAAACAAGGCTACGTTGGACCAATGTTGTATCAACGTTCCTAACGTTTATTCAATGTTGACTCAACGTTGACCTAACATCATGTGTTTGAAATTGTTTGCTGGGTATATATGCTGCCTTGTTGAGGCTTTTACATTGGTTAGCCAGTGTTAAGATGTGGAGAGCCTTCAGGTCAAGCAGCTGTTTTGCTGGATTGAGAGAGTCTGCTGGTTTGAATACTTCTGTTGCATCTCTCCCCTCCCCCTCCCCCCTTCCCATACTGTCCTGGAGAGACTCTCAAAAAAAAGTCTCTCAGTCCAAGGTAACCTCCAGAAGGCCATTTGGTTGACCTCATACTAGGTGGAACTACACTGTCGCAAAGCTTAGCCACTTGAGACCTGACATTCCTCCAACTGAGTTTGAGTTCTTTGCCCAAGATTGGGAACATTGGAGGGCACTTCTCCTGCTTCAACCAGTCTTGATTAAGTTGTGATAGGCACTTTTTAAAAATGAAAGAATGATTATTGATTGTTTCAATTGGAAAGCTTTGGTCATTCATATGAATTCACACATCATATTCATGGAGCAAAGCAGATGGTGATGAAGGCACAGCTTGTACATTAGGCCTTGTTGCCAAACTTGATATGAGGGGCATTCACTAAGTTTTGGCAACATCATCTAAAGAAGGGGATAAACTGACATGGTTGTGCTGTCCTTATAACAGGTTGTACTGGGGAAAGTCCTGATTTGTCATTTCTTGTTTCATTTTGATGTCACCAGTCATTGAGTTTTGACAGAGTTTTTCTAAGAAAAGTTCTTCACTTGTACCATGAAATGGAAGACAGCAGTTCAGTACTGTTTAGATCCTTGAACTTTGGATCATATAGGAGGAAATGCCATTCAAATTCTTTGTGATTTGTCAAGTGTAAGGGGATAATTCACTTTCTTGAAGAATTATTCCCATGTCTATCTGAGATGACCATTCCCACCTTCAAAGTGACCCTCTATGGATGACCATCCAGTGCCTTGACCGAGGCACATATGACTACTGTCTGCAGCCTGTTCGAAGGTGGGTCTTGTTTGAACTTTGCAATGGTAAGCCAGCTTGTTCATCTCCAGGGGAGGCATTTGCACAAAATTTGACAAAACAATGGTTTGAGTGGCATTTTCTCTTAGGTGATGCCAAGCTCAAGCATAGAAATACCAATGAACCAGATCACGGATTTCCATTTTATAGCACTCGTCAAAAACTGTTCCAAGAAAACTTCTGCCACAATCCATCTAGAAGAAACAAGGCCCAATATATCAGTACATTCCCCAGTACAACCTGTCAGATGGATTATGACCATTTATGCCCCTCCTTAGACATTGTTACCAAAACCTCTTTAATACTCTTCAACACCAAGCCATGACTGTGATGAAATGGAAATGTAGAAATTCAGGTATTTTCTTCATTTCAAAATAGTAGGGGCACTGATACTCTGGGCTCTGATGTTATAAGTAAGACAACTGGGACAAGAGATGGGTTGAATAATGCTGAGAGCATTGTTAATGTTCCCTTAAAAAGCAGGCTCTCCTTGGCTGACCTAAGAAATAAGAAACATGATGAGACTAATGAGGTCTATCATAAGATATGGTAGTAATAGGCATTACATCCTATAATTATATTTGGCTATGGTATGCATGTCCTGGATAAAAATGCAATTCATGTTTGAAGAGAGTGAATTTGATGGGAAGTTCTCTTTTAATCATTAGCAAGAGTAGACCAAGCCATGAATGAGAATGAGACTACAGGGTCTCTACCAGAGGTGGGAGTGAGAAGAACAGAACACTCTCCTCTCCTTCCTATTTCCCAGAGAAGGCTTTTCCTCAGCCTCAGTGGAGTAGCACAAGAAGAATTGAATAACTCCACTCATGAAGCTAATATTACAATTGAATCCACTGGAATCCAAACCAACTCACAAGAGCCACAACCAGTTCCTAATGTGCCTGAAAGAAGAAGTTTGGGAAGCTTTGCTGGCGTCTTTGCTCCTGTCCTGCTATCCATGTTTTCAACTTTGCTCTTTCTACGTGTTGGTAAGACATGCCTCCTTTCCTCTATCTACATGCAGTGTTAAAAAAATTATGTTGATCTGATAAAATTTACTGTCCTTAATACCAAAAATGATTTGACAGTTTTTTTTTAAACATCGTGTATTTGTGTTCCAATGAGGAATATGGAGGTTTTGCATTGCAGAAACTAGTGCCATCACTGCCTGAATGTTTAGGAGCCATATTAATTCCTTTCTGTTGTTCTATATTTTCAGTTTTACAAACTAGAGTGTATTGCTTAGAACTTTCAGGTTTCTCTCTACATATCTATATGCACACCTAATAATTTTTTATTTGCAGGCTTCATTGTTGGGAATGCAGGCCTGCTTCTTGCATTTGGATCATTCCTGATTGCATATGGAATCCTGTTCTTCACAGTCCTTTCCATCTCTGCCATATCAACTAATGGAGCTATTGAAGGCGGTGGAGCATATTGTATCCTTTGAATGTAAATTAGATCTATATTGCTTTCATTTTCATAATTATAAATTGCATGGAGCCTCCCCAACAATTTCACTGCTTGCATGAAAGATCTCACTCAGGTGAGTTGTGGAATCACCAGACATTTCTCATTCTGAAGTAAGAGGGAAGATCTTGTTGGGAATCTGCTTTGTGCTGCCAACCTTTCCATGAAATACCTATAATTTTTTTATTTCTAGTTTTTAAGATGCTTACCATAAATTAGTTTGTGTGGGGGAACTGATGGAGAAAGAAAGCCTCTTGATACATTTCAAGATACTCTTTTTGGACAATATTAAGAGGAACCAGCTAGGAATGTCAGTTTTGAGTTTTAGTTTCACAGCTGATAATCTGGTTCTCCCATTAGCCACTCCAGCCCTAGTTTTGCATTTGCAGTCATCATCCAAACTGTTTCCATTGGTAAACTGGGCCCTCCAGTGTAATGCATATAATGTCTTTCTTGGATAACAGCACCAATACATTTTGTGCATAGTATTGTTATTTCATAGTGCCTCAATTCATTTTAAAATAAAGAATGTATGATATTGGGTTTTCTGCCAATGGACTGTATGAAATTTCCCAAAAAACCTCCTGAATCTAATGTTTCTGAGATAATTAAATTTGCAAAATGAAATTCCATTGCTCATTCAGGTGCTCCAATTTCCACCAGCTGGAGAATAGGTTGCTGTGTGGAAGTTGAATCAAAAAACCTCTTCAAATTCATAGCTGTTGCTTTTCTTCCCATTGCTCTGCAATTTATGCTTTGTAGTTGTGCCTTTGAAAATCCCAATAGGAGGAATCTCACAAATTCATTATCTGGTCTAACAACTGAAGGTTATAATGGCAAGTGCATGATCTCAAAATTTAGCTTCACCTCTTCCCAGTGTTCATGGCACGTACATGACACAACAAATATCATTTCAGTATTTAAGATCATAAAGAGCACAGATAACTTGGAGCATTGTAGGATTTTCCAACCCAATGCTTACTAGCAGAACAAGATGGAACCAGCTCAAGTTGCACAATCCTCAAGTGAGGTTCAAGTTGCAAAAAAAATTTATTTTTAGAAGAAAGAATGTGTGGAATGAGTTAGGCACGATGTGGTAGGAGCCCCTGCCATGAGAAGTCCTATGAAGAGGTAGGACATCATGGGTGAAACAGAAAAAGGTAGCAACATAGGTTTAAGTTGGACTATGGTGTAATATGAGGAGGAATGGTGTAATGAGTACTTAATCTCAACTCTAGATATCAATTTTGGCAGGGCCTTGTGGCATCCTGACCCAAAACTTAAACCTTGCATAGAAACTCAGAAACCCCAATTAGTTTTGTCTCTCACAACTTTTCTCTTTTAAGTCCAAATTGCAAGGTTTCCTACCTCAATATATTAGACTCTGAACTATGGAAGCTATATTAACTCTTTCAGACCCAGCATCCATTCTAATGGACATTGCATTTTCTTGGGATGGTAATTTCTTGGGATTCTTGTGATGTTGCATCCATATTACTCTACAATGGGTGCAATTATGCATGGCCCAATTCAATTGGAGGCCTTCTCTCACCTGTCAGTTTTGTAATGTTCAGTTATGTAATTAAATGTATAATATATGGTATGATATAGCAAATTTATAAAAAAAATATAAAAAGTTAAAGTAGAATAGCAAAAACGCTCAAAAATTCAAACTTTTTAATATTATTCTGATAGTGACCATAATTCAAGTCTGAAAAGGTTAATGCAGTCATAGCATACAAATAATTTTTGTTTTTCCTATTCATAAAGTTTGAAAGGCATCATCCCATTGGAAAATATTTAAAAATTTATAAAAAAAATTCAAGTCATGGTATCAGTACTGATTGATCGGCACCAATTTATCATGTACAAACAGGTAGGAGTTGTTTGATACTATTCCAGGCATTGGAGTGACCAGATGCTTGATTGAATGCTCTAATAAAAAAAGAGGCATAATCCTATCACCTATGGAAAGAGATCTAATCATTAAGTGTACCCTTGACTGCAATGTTCAGTCATGATCAGTCGGACCCTTGGCCCTGAGTTTGGGGGCAGTATTGGGCTCCTCTTCTTTTTGGCCAACGTATTCTCAAGCAGTTTATACATCACTGGCTGTGTAGAAGGAATCATTGAAGATTTTGGCCCTGGAGGTTTGTCTTCATGCTATCATTTCTCTGACCAATTACCCCATATGGAAAAATCATATATGATATTATGTGAACATATATGGGAAAATATATAGTATATGATCATATATTGCTATTGAAACAATGAGTATATGGTCATATATGGCAAGGCCATATAATAATTTTTTCAAAAGCATTTTTGTAAAAGATATGGTGGAGCAGATAAGAAACTTGTATGATTTAATAATTTTATCTAGTATAAGGTGAAGCATATATGTCACACCTGATAAGATACATGACCAAAGCAGGTTTGAAAAATACATGAAATCATGATACTCTTGCAAGTCCCTCCAAAATGTCAAAAATGACTTCTAGAACTAAGTTGAGAATAGGCACTTCATTTGTTACTTCTGTGAAAATATGAAGAACCATTCATTAATGTGCTGAAAATGAATCATGTTGTAATAAGTGAACAAAGGTGTCCATATCAATTTCAGGTTGTATGAAGTTTTCTCAGAACTGTCAAGTTGTACTGTCAATCAGGATCTGCCAATTAGTACTTCCAATCAGGGAAAAAGAAAATAAAAGTAAAATTACAGCAGTTTCTTCACATCCCTGCCACTCAGAATTGGTTAATGTGTACTTCATAATGGGAATCATAAGAATGGCCCAGTTGTGTAGAGCAAGCCTAAAGCCTCAGTGTGTCATACTTGTTTTCAAGTTCTACAGTTCCATAAGCATACAGCATATTAACATATTCAACCTTTCAAAACATGGTATAAGTAAGTTATGTATGGCTTCATAAGGAATTGCATGCAAGCTATTATGCAGGATTATAACCACCATTAAAAAGAGCACCAAAGCCTATCCAGTATGAAGCATGCAGTACTTGTAAATTATATATGAAAAGGCCACAAAGTAATTGTTTTTCATACCAAATGGCCATACCAGCTAAATTATATATCCCATATGTATATGGTATATATATGGCATATACATTTCCTGCAATACATATTTTTTAAATGAAAGCATGCATGCTGAGAGTGTATTCACAATATATGAAAGTTCTTCATAAAAACCATATACTTAGACTAGGTGTATGCAGGAGTCCATCCCTCAAATTGCATAATTCTTTTATACAGAACATACTGTAAATGCTGCCCTGGTATATTTAATATACTGTATGAATAATCCTTACATGTATCATATACTCCAAACTTATATGCCTGCATATATGTGCATGCATATTTCAATACATGATAAGTATATGAAATTAAAAGGCACAGTTAATTACATATAACTACCATATATCATCTTTCCATATGGAACTTGTTGGGAAGTACTTTATGGTTACTTGAGAATTAGCATGATTTTGGTTGATTGCTGTCTTTTGTTTCTTGCAGGGGATTTAGGACATATCTTCCCCGATGGTCGATGGTGGGAGTTTTTGTATGGATCCATCATAAACTTCTTCAATCTCTTAGTTTGCCTGGTTGGAGCAGGATTCTTTGCCAAGATCAGTGTTGGGATCCTCTCTACTGTCATCCTTTGTCTCTTATCTGTCATTCTCAGTTTCTTCATTTATGCACACAAGGTATTCCAAGTAAGTCAACTCTGCCTTTAACCTGGTATATCTCTCAGTTATCCTCAATTTAAGATATGATTTCTAAATCTGAAAGTCCCCATGTTTAACCATAACTTCTTAGACATGTGGTCTCTCCCTCTATTTGCATTGGAATGCAGGTTGAGCTTCCTGAGAAGAACCATTTGTTTCAAAACATCACAAACTTCACAGCTGATTATACTGGCTTCAGCATGAAATCATTCTCAGAAAATCTATTGCCTGACTACTGGAAGGACTACACTCGCCCAGATGTTCCCCCGGTGGATTTTGCAACAGTTTTTGCTGTGCTCTTCTCAGGTGTGACAGGCATTATGATTGGTGCCAATATGTCAGGTATGGTAGTCTTTTCCCAGATCCCTGTTTTTATTGCTATAATCTGCTATTCCAGTTTAATTGCCAGTTTCATTCCAAATACCGCCGGTTGACAATTCATGCAGGAGACTTAAAGGATCCCAGTCGGAGCATCCCTCGAGGGACTCTCATGGCTGTACTTGCCTCCATGACATCATACATTAGCCTCTCCTTCCTCGTTGCTGCCACTTGCTCACGATTACTTCTCCAAAATAACTATGTTTTCATGTTGGGTATAAACGTTTGGCCACCTTTTGTCACAATTGGAATCATCACAGCCACTGAATCTGCAGCACTCTCTAACCTTATTGGAGCATCTCGGATCCTGGAAGCATTGGCCAAGGATGAGCTTTTTGGTGAGTCCTGTACTTTTCCTTGAATTGTTCTATGCAGGTTTTCCTATCAAGCAAGCAAGGAATTCTCTCAGGCCTGCTTTGTTCCCTCCTGAAATCTGCTTTCCCCAATAGCCACCCCTTCAACTCTGTGACCTCGGTCACCCAGTCAAAAGCAGCGCCCTCTATTGGGATACAGTGCCATCTTGCGGAATCGAAAAAAAGCCCTTAGACTCATGAACAACTCTGTCAAGTATGAGCTGAATCCAACTGTCCCTTGAAATGTTAAAGTTGAAAAATTCATTGAATTCTGAGACGGTCGAGAATAGGTAATCACCTCATTTGAGGTGGAATGATCCACCTCTAAGCACCTTTAATTCGCCTCTAAATGGGCATTGCACGACTTAGCCAAGGGTGCTGAAAAAAAGCTGACAAGCATTTCAACACCTTGTAATTGTCAAATATTGATTGCATATCCAATGTAATTTTTTTGCTGAATTTATGAAACTGGTATTTCTCCCATAGAAAATGGTAGAACATTTTTTTTTAACCACCCTATATTTTGGAACACTCAGTATAATATCCAGCTGAATGACAGTAGGGGGGAAATGTGGTGGGGGATGCAATCAAAACAAGGTGGACCATAAATATTCACACCAAATCAAAGTCTTGTATTTCCTGTACTAATAACCTCTCATGGAGTCAATTGAATCTCAATAGGACCCAAGGGCTCACAGTAACTACAAGGGGGCTTCAAAAAGTTCGTGGAAAATGTGTAGCTTGAAAAGAATATATGTGTGGATTTCAATATCTTTGCACAAAAAGAAACTCTTACTAACGTGTTATAACATGCCTGAACAGGAGCCGACTTTAGGCATTAGGAAGGAGAAGACGTCAGTTTGAAGAGAGCCCCCATTAGAGCAACATGAATTCTGCTAAAATCGAAGCAAGAACAAACATCAAATTCATGGTGAAGCTAGGGTGGAAGAATGGTGAAATCATTGATGCTTTAGGAAAAGTTTATGGGGACAATGCCCCGAAGAAATCGGCAGTTTACAAATGGATAACTCGTTTTAAGAATGGACGCGATGATGTTGAAGATGACGCTCGCAGTGGCAGACCATCCACTTCAGTTTGTGAGGAAAAAATTGATGCTGTTCGCGCCCTAATTGAAGACGACCGACGATTAACAGCAGAAGCAATAGCCAACACCCTAGACATCTCAGTTGGTTCAGCTTACACAATTCTGACTGAAAAATTGCAGTTGAGCAAACTTTCCGCTCGATGGGTCCCGAAACTGTTGCGCCCAGATCAGCTGCAGACAAGAGCAGATCTTTCAATGGAAATTTTAAACAAGTGGGATCAAGATCCTGAAGCATTTCTTCGAAGAATTGTAACAGGGGATGAAACATGGCTGTACCAGTACGATCCTGAAGACAAAGCACAATCAAAGCAATGGCTACCAAGAGGTGGAAGTGGTCCAGTCAAAGCAAAAGCGGACCGGTCAAGAGCAAAGGTCATGGCAACAATTTTTTGGGATTCTCAAGGCATTTTGCTTGTTGACTTTTTGGAGGGCCAAAGAACTATAACATCTGCTTATTATGAGAGTGTTTTGAGAAAGTTAGCCAAAGCTTTAGCAGAAAAACGCCCGGGAAAGCTTCACCAGAGAGTCCTTTTCCACCACGACAATGCTCCTGCTCATTCCTCTCATCAAACGAGGGCAGTTTTGCGAGAGTTTCGATGGGAAATCATTAGGCATCCACCATACAGTCCTGATTTGGCTCCTTCTGACTTCTTTTTGTTTCCTAATCTTAAAAAATCTTTAAAGGGCACCCATTTTTCTTCAGTTGATGATGCAAAAAAGACTGCATTGACATGGTTAAAGTCCCAGGAGCCACAGTTCTTTCGGAATGGACTAAATGGCTGGTATCATCGCTTACAAAAGTGTCTTGAACTTGATGGAGCTTATGTTGAGAAATAAAGTTTATATCTTTCACTGTTATTTTTTAATTTCATTTTTCCACGAACTTTTTGAAGCCCCCTTGTATTCACAAAATATGTTCAATGTGTCCCTGTTCTTCTTAGTAGCAACCTGGAATCTTCGAGTCTGTCAGTCAGTCGTACCAGACAGACATGGTTTAACTCCTCTTTTGGCATGAACCTGAACTGGTTCAGGTCGCTGGATTTTGTTCATGAGCACTTGGTTCCAGCAGACTTTGCATACAGTAATTGGTTTGGTTTAATTACCAGACAATTTATCCTCACATCCCTAGTTCTAGCAAATTGCTTTCCTCTGCAGGAATATTGTTGAAGCCAATGACATGGGGGTCACAAAGAGGGAACCCACTTGCAGCAGTTGTCTTCTCTTGGTTTCTTGTTCAGCTCATCATACTTATTGGATCTCTGAACATGATTGCTCAAATCACATCTGTCTTTTTCCTCCTCTCCTATTGTGCCACCAATTTGGCTTGCCTTGGGCTTGAACTTGCTTCTGCCCCCAACTTCAGGTCAGTCTGGCATTCTTTCATGTCTGGTTAGCTAAAATAGAAATAAATAAAATATTAATACCTCATTGATGTGAAATATTAGTCTCATATGTGCATTTCTTTGTATTCTCTTACATTTATAAGTAAACAGCACACCTCCCACTCATCATGACTGATCATTAAGGTATTTGACCAAAAGTAAACTGTGCATGAGTAAAGATGGTATTGAGCTCAAAATGGGAAATCCACTAGATAAGCACATACATCACAAGGGGGCATATTTGTGGGAACATGTAAATTCTAATGGCTTTCCACTGCCAGTTAGAGTCACAGGTCTGTTACTCTCATTATCTTGATACATATATTCCTGGGTGTGAAAGGCGTTTGCAACCTCTTAGTTCCTTTGCTCATCTCATTCAAGGTATTAAGGTAGTTGATATCAAGAGGCGATTGCATCCATTTTGATATCACGTGTCAAGGTTGAGCATTCCTTAATTTTAGTGAAGGCGCAATCCTCTTGAAACAAATTTTTTTTTAGCATATCCTACTTGCCTAGTCCCTAACTTCAACATTGCCCCCCCACCATTTTGCTGTCCATAAAAGCATCCAGCTTCTTTAAAATAGTCACAGAAGAGGCAGCCACTACGTCATCCAAAGCATTCCACGCATACACCATTGTGCAAGTGAAGAATTCCACTCTCGACCTGAGTCGCGCCTGCGGTTTATGCAACTTTAGTTGATTACCTCTCGTTCTCTTGCTGCCATTGAACTGTAAAAACCTACCATGCTCTAAATGATCTATTCCTTTAATTATCTTGAAAACCTGAATGAGATTGCCTCTACTTAACCTTCTCTTGAGCAACCACTATCCCACCACTCCTAAACACTTCTTGTACGGAAGTCCCCTCACCTCCTTTATCATTCTTGTGACCCTCCTCTGTACCCCCTTGAGTGTCAACAATTCATTCTAATTTGTAGCCCTCCAAAACTGGATGAAATGTTGTAACTGGGGCCTTCCAGCGCCGCATACGACGGAAGAATAATGCGCGAAGTCCTACTTGCAACTGAACTACGAATGAAACCTAGAATCCTGTTGCATTTGGTCACCGTCGCTTGTGTGTGCAAGGAACACTTGAGGTCATTGTCGATAGAAATTCCTAAATCTCCCTTTCCGTTTTCTAAATCTCCCCCAGTTTATCCTCGCCGAACACATCAAGAGACCTACCATTATTTCTACTTACATGGAATACTTTACACTCAATTTTATTACACCTCATGAGCCATTTCTTGCTCCACCCATTCAAAAGACTCTAGACTCACTCGACTCTAGCCCTATCTGTCTCCCCCCTCATTGGTTTGCTCATGTCAGGTTATTGTTGGTTCATGTTATTATCATGTACTGTACATGTGTCTCATTCAGTGCATATCATGTGGATTTTTCTCAGGGTAATATATGATCTAAATAGTTTACGAAACTATTTTTATATGAAATGGGAAGCCGATAAACCATTTGAACTACAAATAGAAAGAAGTTCAGTCAAACTATACTCCATATTTACTTGTGTATGTGGGACTTAAGTTGTACAGCGTGGCCCATAAGTTGCTTTACCATTTAAAAATTTAATAACTTTTTTGCCATTAATTTTTTTACATTTTTGTTTCAGATTTTGAAAATTTGTTCCATGGAAATTTATTATGGAAAAATTCACGACGGAGCAACACGTAAAAATAATTGAATTTTATTTCGAAAATCAGCACTCCATTGTTCCAACACAGAGAGCATACATGCACTACTTCCATGTCAGGAATCCGCCCACAAAACCAGCAATACGTCACTTGGTTCAACGTTTCCAGCAACAGGGGTCTGTTAGTGATTTGCCACGAGCCGGGAGATCACGTTCAGTACGTACGCAGGAAAATATTGAACATGTGCAGCAGAGCATTCAGGAAGAACCAGGAACGTCCACTCAAAGACGTTCTCGCAAGCTTGGAATCTCATGGACTTTGTTGCCACGCATGCAAACACATTTACACATGTACCCATACAAGGTGCAATTGGTGCATGAATTAAAGCCAATAGAGTGTCAGCAATGGCTAAATTATGCAATCCAGATTCAAGAGATGGCTAGAACTTAGATACATAAAAATGCATATTTTTGCATTTTTATTTAAGTGTGCATATTTACACATTTGTGTGCATTTTGCCATTTTTTGTGCAAAAAATAGTTTTCCAGGAAAATGTGTTTTTTTTTAAATGAGCGATCAATGAAAAATTTCCAGCTGTCATGTGCTATGACCAATGGTGTATTGAGGGGGGGGGTTGAAACTTCCCAAACTCAGATCTAAATGCATCCACCAACCCAACCCTCTCTCCCCTCCCCATGCCCCCTGTAGGCACCACAGTTTAAGCTCCAAGATTCTTTGTACTCCACTTTGAGGGTGAAGGGGAAGCTTGACAATAAGGAATGTCCATTGTTCCTTCTTCTGAAGCATATGTTTAGCATTTTTAAAAGCTTGTTTTTGCATATTCCCATTTTCCAGCATGTTTCACAAATGTTTCAGCATTTTTAGGTGAATATATAGGGTGTTTAAAAAACAAGGCATTCCTCACTTTTTCTGTGGGTCTCTCTACCTTGTGCCCATTATTGCATTTTATTTCATTTTGTCTAACAATTAAAACATCCAGTATCAGCAACAAGACTCTCTTTCATTGAGTAACATCAATTCAGGCTTCCCTTTGGCCAATAATACTTCTAGAGAAGGCATATGTAGAAAATTATGGCAATTTCAAAATGAAGCTGCGATGATCCCCTTGCTTTTGCGTTTCTTCTTGAAACCTCTTTTGAAATCCCTGGGTAGCATGCCGAAGTGTATCTGCAAGGATGCTGTCAGTTTCACTGCAAATGTTCTGCTTCAGCTGATTGCAGTGGTTTCAGGTCTGGAAAAACATTGCTTCAGGTAACCCCCACAGGAAAAAACCAGAGGGGACAGGTCCTGTGATTGAGGAGGCTGTAGATTGGGACTGTGGAGATAATGTGATGGTGAAAGTAGCCTTGCAGTCAGTTTAGTATAGCCTTTGCTGCAGGAGGAGTGCCATCTTGTTGAAACCAGAGGTTGGAGAGGCTAAGTTGTCCTGCCTTGTCCAAGTTCTCAAGTACTGGAAAGTAAAACTGCAGCAGCATATCCTGATACCTTTGTGAAGTCACAGTAACAGCCTTGCCGATCTTCATGAAAATATGGGCTGATGATGCCAGAGTTCCCCAGCCCACACCAGTCACCTTTGCCATACTCCTTGGATGCTCCCATGTGACATGTGGATTCTGTTCACCATAAAATCCAGTATTTTGAGGATTTACATGTCTAGATAGAAACTGTGCCTAATTACTGAAGTGGATGTTGTCCTTGCAAGGTTGGCTGATGCAGAAGTTGCTGGAGCATATCATTTGCGAACAGGAGCCTCCTTTGCCTGTGTTGTGGCATGAGCACTTTTGTTATTGAGATCTAATATGGATGTGGGTGAAGCTCTTGCTTCAGAATGCGATGGACAGATGTGTGCTTGATTTGAAGATGTTACAGTGCAATTCTCCTAGAGGGCAGCAATCAGTCTTGCTGGATATCCTGTTGAACTTTTGCAATGTTCACCAATCTCCCAGTCATGGGTCATTCAATGCATTGAGAAACAGCTTAAACATGTGAATCAAGGACGATGATTCATTATCAGCTGTTTATTCCACACAGTGGAGATTATGATGGCATATGGAAGTCCAGTGGATTGGAATGAGCACCATTATTTTCATGCCATCTCTGCCATGAATATGATGGCACTCTCACTGATCGTGTTGACTTCTAAATGCAAATATCATCATGCTTGTGTGAAATAAACACCTTCTTTCGTATGGCCTTGGTGAATAGCAACAATTTAAAGAATAATATCAAGTTTTGATACCCATTCGGCTGTCGCAGTGGTAGCCTCATGGATGTTTTTTAAATCGCCCTTGAAGGATCTAATTGGGCATTCACATACTATGTGCTGTACTGTCTGACTTGGTGCTCTACAGTCATTTTGGACCATCATTGATTTTTTCCATTTGTGGAAAATGTGTCCTCATCTTCGTTGGAGTGTCCAATTTGGTTTAAGGAGGACCATATCTTCCTTGGAAGTGTGAATCTGGGCTGAAGAGTTGTGGGATCATTGATGATGGACTTCAGCGGCATGTTGGTGTTTGCCAAGTCCTCCTTCCATTGTTATTCTGTGGTCTTGCCATGGATCCAAGGTGGCTTTCTGGACTTGAGCCTGCTTGGGGGTGGGCATGTGATGTTGCAGTTGATTAAAAGGCCTGGATTTTATAGGGCATTTCAATATTTGTGCATGCTTGCCATATTTCTGCGGATTTCTGGAGGTGCTATGTTGGATAGGACTGGAAGCCATGGCAAGCAGTGTACTCTGCAATGTACCTGTGATTGTCCTCATCATGGTGTTCAACCGTGTATCCACCAGTTTCACATGGGAGCTTCTGGTCCAGACCAGCACATGGTATTCTGTGGTGGAGAAGACCAGCACTGTTGAAGCCATGCGGAAAGCAGTGGCATTTGTTCCCCAAGTCATGCCCACAAGCTTGTGTATGAGGCTAACTCATGTCTTTGGCTTTGCTACAATATTTTGGAGATGTTTGTGGAATGTGAGACTTCTGTTGAGAGTTATCCCTAGATATTTGGGGAACTTCTCATGCTGCATTTGTTCACTGCAGAAGGTGACAGCGAGCTTCTGGTTGGCTTGGCCATTGTTCTGGTGGAATGATGTCACTGCCATTTTTTTGGGTTTGGGCAGAGCCACTAGTACTTGAAATACTGTTCGAATTCCTTTAGGCCCCTTGTTCGGTAGTCTTGGACCTTTTTTTTTGGTAGAATCTTGAGTGGCCAGCACAAGATCATCAGTGTAGCCTAATGTCCTGCTGGTGGTGGCAAGTAGATTGCTGATTCATATATTAAATAGTGCTGGGGGCAGCACTGATCCCTGCAACAGACTGTTATTTAGTAGATGAGGTCTACTCGCCATGCTTTCAAGGTGCACACAGAAACGTCTGTTGGCCAGCAAGGAGAGAAGGAGTTGCAGTGTCTGGTGACATCTGATGACCTTTGACACTTTCAGCAGTGAGCCTTCTTGCCATATGATGTTGTAGGCCGCTGAAAAGTCAATGAAAGCGGCTCCTGTAACGTTCTTGTGTTGATACCCGCTTCGATATGGGTGGTAAGCGCCAGTACCTGGTTGCAAGTACTGCGTCCAGGCCTAAACCTGGCTTGTTCAGCTGGGATATGCTCTGTGAAGATGAGTTAGAATGAGTTAGAAGATTGGTTAGAATCATCCTTTCAAGAAGTTTGTATGTTGTGCTGAGGTGGGAGATCAGCCTGAAGCTCTTTGAGTCATCAGTTGGCTTCCTGGGTTTTGGAGTGGCAATAACTTTTGCTTTTTGCCATTTCTGTGGTATTTTTCCTGAGGTGAGGATGGCCAAGAAAAAGTTGGTGTGCCACCAGTGTCTGTTTACACCAAGGTTTTTCAGGAATTCAGGATATATCCCAGTCCCTATCCCAGGATATATCAGGATATATCCCAGTCCCACAGGACTAGGATATATCCTAGTCCTGTGGCCTCCGTGGTCTTGTGACTTTCAGTGCCTTGTTAACCTCTTCCTCAATGAAGGGTGATGAGAGGGCTGATGTTGGTGCACATTCTGCTATTGGTTGATGGAGCTGTGCCTTCACTCCACTTTGTCTTGTGTGGCAGTCTTTCGGCGTCTTTCTGCTAATTAACATCTGGGCTGGGATGGCATTTGCTGATGCGTGAGCAGTTTTGTTCACTGGTGGCAGTGTGGCTCTGAGGTGTCTCGAGGCACCAGGCTTTACAACTTGAATGCATGAAGTCTATTGACTCCATTGCTTCCATCCACCTTTGTCTTCTGGCCTCGTTCAGTGAGTCCAAGAGAGATGTGCTACATTCTGCATTTCCATTCTCCATGTATTCCTGGAGCAGGACCTTGCTTTCATCACTCCAGCATGGAGTGTAGGCTACTCTGAAGCCACGGGGGAATCGAGCACATGCTGCCTTCTTAATGAGAGTGGTGAAGCGTTCGAAGTTTCCCAGGGTTGGTGGTATCTGGGAGACTGTGCGTTTGACCTGTATGTTCAATTGCTGTGGTGAATGCTTGCCAGTCAGCTTTCCTGAAGTTGTATCGGGGCAGCGGGATGGAGGAGATGATTGGGATTTCATTTCCAACATGTATCAGCTCTGGTCTCTGTTGGCTTTGCAGGAAGTTGTCCAGAACCTTCTGGATGCATGCAGTGGTTCTCCATTTGTAGCACAGGATACAAAATACAGGTCAGTGGTCAAGTCTTTCCACCAACGTGCTGAATGGAAAGTGCCTTGGTCTTTAGCATCGAACCTTAGGAACATGTTCTCAGTTGTCCCCCTATCTATGAGCTGCTCCCTGGTGGATTCGTCCAATGCTTTTCCCCATGCTGTGTGGTAGCTGTTGAAATCACCAACATATATGCAGGATGGTTGGAGACAGGAAGCATGTTTGTGGTCCATAAGGCATTGGGAGGTTCATATACCTTTGTTACGGACACTTGCCTGATTTTGATGGTGATGGATGTCGCTGTGTTCTTTTCTGGATTCATCATGATGTCCTTGAGTTGAGACTTCACATATGTTGCTAGTCCATGCTTGGATGGTGGTGACTGGTGATAAGCAGGAAGTCGTGGATTTTGAGGCTAGATGCTCTCTCGTCACTGGTGGTGTGGTTTTCTTGCAACATGAGTATGCCTCTTTTGTGGGTCTCAAGAAGCCTTCCCAAGTAATCACACTTGACCCTAGATAGACCCTCCATGTTGAGATGGGACAGTCGTAGTGATAGTCCTACAGCATGGTAGGTTTGACCCTTATAAGGACATTTTGGTACACAGTTGAGGCTATCCTGACCAGGAGGCCCCTTACATGCATTCAGTCACCGGGTCAATGAGATTAGTTGTGATGAGCATGTAACAACAGAGACCACATGAAGGTTGTCATCTTCACCAACAAATAAACACATGATGATGAATTACCATCATTGTTCCTCATGTTTCATTTGTTTCCCATTGCATTGTAGGAAGAAAGCATAGGGGTGACAGGACTTTGTCCTGTCACCCCTATGCTTGTTTCTTCTTTCTAGCTTTTTTCTTCTTTCTAGTCACATGGTCGGTGGAGGTGAGGGTTGGCTGGAATTCAATTCCAAGATATACAGGGTGTTTCAGAAAAGACACTCCATCCTTTTTCTATGGGGAAATGACAATTTTATTTTTAGGGGTATTCTCATAAAACTAAAAATTCATAAAAATTGAAATCAGACTTTTTCTGAGATTAACATTTTATCTGAATAACCATTCCTTTGAAATGGAAAGTCAGAATTTAACAAATTAATTTCCAGGGATTTTTGGCAAAAAAGATTAATTAGGATAAATTAGGTACTGGTCCAGATCAGTCTTTGCATTGCTAAACCAAACTCAAATTGAACCTTTCTAATTTTTAACTGAATGAAATATTTTAAATTTTAAATAAAAATAAAAATTTATTTTCTTAGAACTCTTCTGCAGTAACCAGAAAGTAAAGTAGTCATTAAGTCATGTGTTCTTGATTTCTGTGCTCCTAGAACTGTAGTCTGAGCAGGTATGCTGGAGGGATCAGTAAGAGACAGGTGCGGTGCTCTAATAGTTAAGATTTGAATGTTTGTACCCTCACATCAGAATCGTACATAAAATTTGTATTGTTCTAATGGGGTTGAAGCAATCTTTATTCTTTGGAGTGAATCTGACACCAAAAGGCAAATCCCACATTTTATCAATGATTCACAGCCTACATTAAACTGCTTGTCAGATTAAGCCTTCTCTGCTCCATTCTCATGGTGTTCTACCTGTAAGAAAATAGGCAGGAGCCAGAATAAAGCCTGGTCTGATTTTTCCCCCTATGGGAATGAGTGTTATCTATCCCCAAAGAAAATGAGTGGAGTGTCTTTTTTGAAGCACCCTATACATAGAACTTGACTACTTCTAAGGGTTCCTTCTCTTATTAGAAATGATAATCTCCTGCCAGTCTGTGACCTTTTTGAAATTCCATGATTTTAGTCTTGGTTGTGTTGACTTCAAGGAGGTTTTCTTGTGACCAGACCTCCAGAACATATCCAGACCCCCCTCAATGCAAGGCAATGCAAGGTCTGGATATCTTCTCTCTGAGGGGAGAATATCACAACATTGCAACATTGCATACAGCAGAATGCAGATTCCTGAGCAAAGCTTCTGATTTTAGAAATCAAGTCAGCTATGAAGAAAGTGGGACTGAGTCCTTGGAAAACACCTCTATTTTTCCTGGTGTGCTGGGTGGTATGTAAGCCATCAGAGATGGTGATAGTGTTCATGTCTAGGGTGGGTTTCAGAACTTAAAAAAAAAAACCTCCTCTGCACTTTGAAGGAATTCCAAAGTTTCTTGAACAGAATTTGACTGTCTACCTTGTCAAAAGCCTTGCAAAAATCAATTAAGGCTACATACATTTTCCCTTTGGTTGAGCTGAATGGTTTTAATTGCTGGTGTCTTCAGTGGTTGTAATATAGTATTAAAATCAAACAATGCAAAGCATTACAACTGAATGGGCTATTAGAATAGGTTAAGCAACATATGTAGTAACATTTAAAGGAAAAAACTATCCAATATACCTGCCTTCTAGATTTTACAATTTTAAGTTGAACTGCCTTCTCTATTTTGCATGCAATCATGTACCTAAGTGTGATGGCATGAAATAACAGATTTTAATGTACCAAACTTCTCAGCAACTTGCATTTGTTTAGCACTGGGCTCAGTGGTCTCACTAAAATTAGTTGAAAATAAATTGCTCTAGAAGTAAGATGCTAAAAGGCAAAATTGTGGAGCACCAGAACCTCTAAAATATAAAGGTCAAAAAGACCAATTGTTCTAATGAAAATGGTTGTAGTGAACTTTTTTCATCAAGTCATGGAATCTAAAATCACCTCTCAAATAGATCATTCAGAAGTTTAAGATTGTGTGCAAAGGCTTGCAAATTCTCCATGGCATCTTGATTGTTGTAAGCTTTGCCTATTGATTTCAGTTATCTATCGTGGGTAGCATCTGGCTTCCTCTTTTTTCTTGATGAGTGGCCCATTTCCTCACCTGGCAATCTCCCACTCCACTTATATTTGCTCCTTCTGTAATACTTAAAGGTGGTGAAACACATTAGGATAGGACTTTCTGAGGATGGAATATAAACTGTGATGCCACCCATCAAAGTCATTAGTTGTCTGAGGCTAATTGAATTGGACACAATTCAGAGCATTCCACAATTGGCAGAAATGCTGTGCACCTTTGCAGTCTCCCATGTGGCCTGTGCTTTCTAACATATTATTCCTGAAGGAATCGGCAGCCACTTGTGCAGCTTCTGGATGCATCATGGGAAGGAGTACTTCAAACAGATTGGGAACACCCCAAACTAGAGTGAATGCCAGTGGCACAAAAATACTGAAAGGCTCATTACTTGCATTTTAATTGACCAGTGAAGAAAAATGGATGGAAAGTTTACTCTCAAACATTGGGACCATTTCATGAAGGCCTATGAATCACCATCGCATAAAGTGTAGTTTTTGCAGCAGAAAAAAAACCTCTGGTTTCATATATAGTGTAACGAAAAAATAAATGTAATTGTTGGAATTGGCAAAATCTTGTTCATAGGATAATGTTGTTTATAGGTATTCATTTATGCCATGTTGTCTTTGCCCTCCAGGCCAAATTTTGAATACTTCCACTGGTCAACAGCATTGCTGGGATTGGTGGGAACACTGACCATGATGTTTGTGATCAGTGCATTATATAGTGCAGTGAGTCTTCTCCTCTGTGTACTTCTTGTCATCGCTCTCCATTTGAGATCTCCTCCCATTAATTGGGGTTCCATATCACAAGCTCTCATCTTTCATCAGGTTTGTCTCCCATGTTATTTTCTATTCTCAATTATAGTCTTACCTTTTCACCTGAAACAAAATTCATTAGGCTGGCCATCAATGGGACAATGAACTCTTCTCATTTCTGGGTCAGTAATTTGGGATTGTGGCAGATAGGAATTAATATCCTAGCTGAAACCCCATATAACCAATAGTAGGAGTATAACTATGAAGTGGATGCAACTAAAGCTAATGGACTAAAAGAAAACTGACAAAGTTCAAATTAGATTGTCTATTTTCATATGATAACAAGATATATAGGGTGATTTTTAAAAAAAAGCCCAACTGTTTTCTATGGGAGAGAGTAAGGTTAGTGTATTTGAACAAAAATGATAAGATTCCTAAACTCTTGATATTGGACATATCCAAGGAGTTGAGAAGATTGTGTAACGGGCACGGGGCGCAGTGGGTTGGATTTATGAAAATATGAAATATTACTTAAGTTAAAATAAAACCTTTACCTTAACGCGCCCCGATTCCATTACAATGAATTCCCTTCCAGGAAATCAGGTCCGTGCCAATTCAAATTCGAGCGGGAGTAACTAAGGCGTAATTCAAGAAAACAAAAAAAAGTGTATTTCCAAAAAAACTAATAATAAAAAGGACAATAGAACTGTTAGCCAAACAACCGGTCCAACCCCTTTACAGTAGTTTCAGTGACAATGGGCTGATTTTCACCTCCAGATAAAACCTTGCACGTTCTGGGGAAAACTCACGACTACCGAAGCGAAAAGATCCTCTAACTATAACGTTTTTCCTCTGTATGTTTTTGAGAGAGAAAGGTGGCCAGTTTCAGAGCACTCACGATCAAAAGGGCCCGAGTACCCCGGTCAAATCGTTACTAACTCGAGTTCTTCGAGTTCGAGCTCTTCAGTCACCTCGGAGTGAGGGACCGAGGGAGGGATCTTCAGCTGAAATCCTGCTGGATTGGAGGATAGGTTTTGGAGATTAGACTTGATTGGAGGGACTTTGATACCCATTCGCATAATGATGTTATGGCTCCTTGTACAGTGTTTGGGTAGCACATTCGAGAAGAAAAGATCCTGCATTTAAACTGTAAGGAGCCCTTCCACGGGTTGGCTGACCCCAAACACTGGGTTCACCTCCATATTGATGCATCTCCACGTGTTGATGGAGGTTTTAGTTCACCTCCTTCAGCTTCCTCCCCGCCTTGACTCACTACTGATACACTGGACGTTGCGCGGTCATAGGCTGGCATACGTTACAATTGTCTGGTTTTTCAGAAAAATTCTCTCAGCCATGGATTCTCCTGTTACAAAGTTTACTGGTGGATCATTGCTCCTCAAACAGTAATGGTCTATGCTCCATCATCTGAAAATTCAATTAGTTTACCTAGTTATGGCCTTAAACCAATTTTGACCAAATTCATATTCTTTAAATTGGCTTCAAGACCATATCTTTTGAAACTGCTCTCAGATGGAAATGATATTTGGCAGAGAGGCTCACAGGCCTATAAGGTTTTTTTTGCTACCTAAAATGTGGCATGACACAAAGATAAGGTGACAACGGCGGTTGACAACGGCGTCCTCTATCGGCGTGCAGTGCCATCTTATGATATGTGAAAAAGCCTCTTAGACTCTTGAACCTCGTGGTCAAGTATCAGCTGCATCCAACCCTTGAAAAGTTATGGCTGATCAATAACAGGGATTTGCTATAGGCCCCCTAACTCTACTCTCGAGGATGAAGCAGCTTATTTTGCACTCATGCGTAGGATCGGCGAGATCTCGAAACAGGTATTGCTCTTCAGAGACTTTAACATGCCAAAAATAGCTTGGTCGGTGCCGCAAGGGGGGTGCGAAAGGGATAGGGGATTTCTCGTTGCGGTTCAAGACGCTCTTCTCGTTCAGTACGTAAATGAACCGACTCGTGAGGAAGCTATGTTTGATGTAGTTTTTGCGACGAACGACGATCTAGCACTAGACGTTAAGTTACAGGATAACTTGGGATATTCGGACCACTGCGCGATCAAGTGGAATATCAAGCGGACGAAGAGTAACGCCAAACCGAGGAAGGTTTCGTACAACTATAAGAAGGCTAATTTCGAGAGACTACGTGAATGCGTTTCAGGCATCG